CCAAGTTGATTGATGATGTAGCAAGATCAAATGGATCTTTTTTCGATCCAGAAGACTTAGTCAGTTTAAATGCAGTTTGATATGACTCTTCTGCCAATTTATATTCTCCCATTTTCTCATGAGCTTTACCGAGATTCGTATGACACTTTACAGTATCTGGATGTTTTTCACCATATTTGGATGTGTAAATCGGTAATGCTTTTTGATATAATTCAAGTGCTTTTTCCATTTCATTATTAAGAAAGTAGTCATCTGCTAATGAACTGTAACCTTTGGCAAACCATTTTTCACCATTGCGTACTTCCTCTGCAGCCTTAAATGCTTCAGTATGGTAGAAAATGGCTTCATTATAATATCCAGCATTTTGATTACAATTACCCAAACCATAGTAACAATCTACGATCAAAGGATCATTATGTGGTAATCGATTCCACAATGTTTCATAAAACTTTGCGGCTTTATCTAAATGACCTGTTTGCATGATTAACCAACCCAATGAAGCTTCATTAGTTCTAGTTTCAATTTGTTTTGTCCAATGCGAGATAATTTTGCGCAGTTCTGGGTCTTCTTCACTGCATAATTCTAGTTGGATAATGCCAATAGTATCAGATCTTTTATCTCTAGGAACGTTTTGAATTTTAAAAATTGTTCCCGGTACAAACAAAACTTCCTTTTCGCCGCTCATGGCACTTAATTCTGAAATGTTTGCATATGGTGGAGTTTTAAGACATGGATCAATCTTAATCTCAAATAATACTGGTTGACAATCTTCAGACAAATTCTTTTTCTGACGCGCAGCAAACTCAAGCGCTACATTTTTCTGTAAAGTAGTAGACAAGAAAGAGTTCATTGATATAAACTCGTCCACTGATTTTGTTATTCGCTCAAATTCATTTGATGATATTTGTTGACCACGATATACGTAATAAGGTTGTCGACGATTTTCATGTTGTTGGTGTTTGTGTTTTTCGTCTAACTGTTGAAACATATCAAAGATGAAAAATCGAAAAAGTAATAAGAGTTCCAGATTTCTATTTCGGAATGCTTTATTCAACACTTTATAGAAAGATGATTCAAGCGTATACCACCATACGGCATTGTCTGACGAATATTCAGTATTGAACTCCTTAATTATACGCAAGAAATCGTCGTCAGTAGCATATATGCGACTTAATTTCGAAACTAACTCATGTTTGTCTTTATGCAATGTTGGAGCAGAGGAAGGTGATATGGAATCATCGAAACGAGTGATTTTAAGCAATGTGTGTACAAAAAGATACATCCAAATAAATGAAATATTCGATTCTGCTTGATATTCATCTTTTCGATTATAAATATTCACTGATAATTCTTCTTCAATTTCATTCAGAAGCTTCAGTTGTTGAATTTGTTTATGCCGAATCTTTTCAATAAGTTGATTTTCTTTAACAACAACATGTACCTATTTAGAAAAAAAAGAACCTTATTTACACATTTTCGCAGAAATTAATACTAAGATTCAGCCGTCTTTACAAATCGGTTTTTTGACTTACCTTTTTGTATTCTCTAAATTTTTCTTCGAAATACTTTCCTGCTACAGTATAAATGTAAATAACATCTATCTGTTCTGAATCATAAACAGATGGGACAAGAATACTGCCAACACTCCCAGCTACGATCAAAATCACTTTATCAGTAGTGGCTAATTTTCGAATATAGTCTTCACAGTCTTCAATGTTGTTGAATACTTTTAGTGATGGTGTTACAACGTTTAATTCATCTTGCATCTTTAGATTTTCCTCTGAATCACGAACTTCGTTATCCAACCAAATAACGGGCATTACATAATCATCTGTTGACAATTGACGATAATTGTTTGGAATTGTTTCCTCATCCTCATTATCCCTAATTTCTCTTGCTTGTCGTCGTAGTTGCATGTGCGGTACCACATGAGATCTCTCCACTTCGCCAATAATATACCGCTGATTCTGAAGAAGTTGGTGTGATGGAATAGGTTGATGGTTGGTTATCTTTGAACGTGGCTTGCCAGAAATTTCCGTTGCAGTTGTTGCAGGCGAGTTTCTTTGACGAGATGCATCAGCATTATCGTAAACTGGAACTGTAGGAGCATTAGCTCTAGATTCACCTAATTCTAAATTTTCAGGTTCCGATGGTTGTATTATATTAACGTTGCGTCTGTGAATAAGGCTGTTTTCGGCTCCCATATATCTCTTTTAGAAAGTAGCAATAAAATACTTTTCGTTAATTTTATACTTCGATTGTGATATATATGTTTCCAAATCAAAACCAATACAACAAGTTGTATTTTCCTCCCAAATGGCAGTGCAGAAAAAGTGTAGCTTATAAAACGTCAATACTTGAACAATACTTAACTCGAACTAATCATGTGCAACGTTGAATAATAAGTTTTTAAGTTATACACAAAATTTCCAGAGTTCTATCTAAAAAGAAATTCAGAAGTCATACGCAAAAAGATCTCGTTATATTTCATAGTTATGCTGATGACTATTTATAATTAAGTCAATAGTAGACTAAAAGAACTGTCAGAGCGATGGTGTGCTACAAAATTTTCTCTAAAATTTCCCCTTACAACCATGTTTCGAACGGCAGATATATATTCCTAAAAATTTCCACTGATAGAAGTTTCTTGCTTTGAGTTTACAGGAAACTTCTCAGACTCTATAAGAAAGTGGAAACAGATTTTAATAGAAAGCTGTTAGCGCAATCGGGTGGAATTAAAATATGAAACACGATCGAAATAATCCTCTCGTAGATGAGAAAATTTGCCAAAGTATCTATCATCGTCTGTGATTCCAGGAAGTCGAGTTACACTATGGGACCATCACGCTCTAGAATGGCTACTGGTTTGCAACTGTCATGCTCTGGAATGGCTCGCTGCTATTATGTCTATCATAATCTATGATGGAGAGGGGAGTCATTGCTAAAGTGTCAGTAATGGCTGGGGTGGGACATTACTAAGGCGTCTGTCACAGTCTGCATTGGGGGGGGGGGGGCACAGTGGACAGAGAAAGGGAGTCAGGAGCAATTTCCAGATGCCAAATCGCTTTTGAATCGAGACTGTGTGCATTATGTAGGCCTTAATGAGCTATGAGCATACTGAAAAGAGTTCGCGCTTATAGCTTATTTCAATCGAGATATTTAATTTTTATTGCATTTTTTAGCAAAAAGCCGTGGTACCCCTCAGATTCACTTGAAAAATCAATTTTCGAATTTCGACTTGAAACTTTGCACAGAGAAAGGTCTTGATGAGACTGGTTCATTCTAAAAGTTTGAGATTTTTAGGTTCCTTCTACCCTGAGATACAACTGCAAGAAAAAATACTCTTTTTCACATCATTATAGCACAAAATGTTAAGTGTTTATATTTAAGGATAGGAGCAACCAAGAAATTTGAAACTTTCAGAATTAACTAGTTTTATTGAGACCTCTCTCTGTGCAAAGTTGCAAGTCGAAATTCGAAAGTTGATTTTTCAAGTGAACCTGAGGGGGACCACGGTGTTGTGTCACGAGACGTCGTAAAAAAATCAAATATCTCAACAAGAGTTTAAGCGGGCATCTTTGGACATTCACCGAAAATAGATGATGACTTGCTCTATCGAATAACAAATTAAAACTTGAATTAAAGCTTCGGCAAAATCCGGCGAACAAACTACATTGTGGAGCAGTGACTATTTTTCGCTATACTGGTCGTAAGATTTTGATCTTATTATAGTCCAAAGAACTTCAAGAAGTCTGAACGGCCTGCAATATATAGTAAATGTATAACACTGTATAACTATATAATAACGAATGAATATAACTGGATCCTCAATTTAAAACATACGTTTTACTTATATGATCCTATTAGTGATGTTTATCTTTTTTACGTACCTTATGGTGCCTGCAACTTAACAAACACTTGCTTTCAATCATTATCCGGGATGCAGTTAAATGCAGAAGCACAGCAGCTGCAATAATAGCTATGATATTTGCCTAAATCTCGAAAAGCGATTTTGTCGGCTGGCTGTCCACTGTGAGGGGGGGGGGGGGAAGCGGAAAGGAGTCAGTCCAAAATTTCTGCCTCTATACTTCAACACTCCTTTTAGTTCGTTTTTCACAAAAATAACCAAAGTATATCTCCACTTGTGAAGTTTCGTAAAAGCTTAGGATTTCTAAAAATAAAGCAATTGAGTTTCAAGTGGTCGATATATTGTATGAAGACAGTACGAAAGGTCAATTTTCCAAAGTATACCTTAGTTTAGTTGTCTAATAGAATTTCCTGAATAGAAATTTTGAAAATAAAACAGGTTAACCTATGAGGAACGTTACATAGAAAATTAGCTTCATTGCATTATTCCAAATATTGTAAAGATAATCAAATATCCTTGCAATTTCATTAGAAAGAGCTCAATAATATTTTTATCAATCTCAACAACTGGAGAAAAACTCTAATTATGAAACCTCGATTGAAAGATTGATTTTGATACAAACTGAATAAGACACGCAAAAGGCTCGGGTTTGAGTAATTTTGAAAAAAAGCTTTTTCGAAAAGAAACAGTTGATTTTAATAAATGAGTCATTACCTGGCATATTTTTTATAAACTACAAAACAGAACACATAAAATGCGTCATTGAACTTCGCAAAAAGAGTCTATTACTCGTAAACAAATTGTAAAATGTGGCTAAAATACATTTTGCCAAGTATGAATACTATAATTATTGTCTATGTTCTCCTTGAAATGTTTTTTTTTCAAAATATTTTGATCATATTTTTCTCCGCCTCAGAAGTTCTTGTCAAAAGCGGACTGATCTGTCAATAAAGTCTTTCGACAATTTTTCTTCTTGGTCGAAATATTCATTTTCATCTCTTTCCCGTTGTTTGATACGGATAATAATGTCGGCCCAGTATTCTTGAGCGATCCTTTTTTCCCGTAGCATGTTGTCGCGTATTTGAAATTCATCCCGTTCAGTGGTATCTGCAGCATGATACACAAATAAGAGACGCATAATGAGAAGGAGAAAAGTTTCACGTACCAGAAAGAGTAAGTCCCAAGATCGCTGTTTTCATGTTATCTTGAAAAATAGTTCTCCATGTTCGTCTTTCTAGTTTTAGATCTGAGAAAAAATAGAAAAGAGTTAACAGAATAATGAATACCATCACATACTCTTGCTTTTTTGAACCGTGAAACTCATTGCAATACCTTTGGTAGGACAATTTGTAAATAAAATAGAATAATTTAGAACAGGCTCAACGGGAGCATTAAAATAATACTGATTGCGTCCAGTACTATAAGGATTGCCAGCTCCTGGTGAAAATCTTATACCTAAATATTGTCCCTCTGTGATTTTAATATCTGTGTCGAATGTTTGGATTCCTTTTTCTAATTTGATTGTTGCAGATTTTTGCTGATTTGCAGTAGTATTTTGTTTGGATTTTTCAAATAACTGACGCTTGCTAATAACTATAAAGAAGTGTGGATTCGAAGCAACTGTTGCAGCTGCAATAACAAATAGCCAAATTTCAGGATTTGTTGTTGTTGGTGCAGTAGAAAAATTAATTGAAACCTTTGTTACAGTGCCAGAAATTTTTGCTCGATCCATTGCATTGAATGAAATTATATTATATAAATTCGAATCGAGTTCACTAGCACCATCAAGCGAACCATGAATATTGTCTACGAAAAAAACAATACAGTTTTATAGCGACAAGTGAATTGAAAGAGAAGAGGGAGACCTACCACTAGTCTTATTTCGGCTAAGACGATATAGAAATTTAAGGAATTTATAAGTGTAATGAAGAAGATTAATCGGTGGTGGATATGGTGATTTTCGTCGATATTCATTGACGAGAAGGAATCGATGAAATGCCCAATATATGTGCGAATTATGTGCAGCTTTACTAAGTGTATCACTAAACATGTAGAACGTTAGCCTTCATGAGAAAAAGTTCAGATTTCAATCATACTTAAATAGAGCGACCAGCACATTCAACAACAGTACGTTTGCTATGCAGACAAAAATAATCGTCAAGATAAATACCATTGTTCCATAAGCATCGTTATCAGCTAAAAACAGTCGACACGATTTTATGAAGGCGAAGTTTAAAAACAACGGACTTATTTTCATACCATTTAGTATGACACCATCTACCTCTTGATTGTTCAGCAATGATACTTGTCCATATATTTTCCACATTCCCCAATCAATGACATTTCTTAAAATCGTCCAATTCCAGAGACCATCACCATTTTGCGTTAGTTCGTACGCTTCAGAAGAATTCGAGTCGGAATTCTGCCAAATAAGCTGTTGATTGGTAGTGATAAGCGAATATGAAGTCACCGAATAACCAATCAAGAAAATCAATATAAAGTAAATAAAGAATTGCAAATCTTTCATCTAAATGAAATAGATAAGAATTGATGATATAAAATTTAAATAATTTTTACTGTGTGAAATATCTTGAGCAAGTTGGTACCCAGTCGTTCTGATGCTATGAAGAAATGTAAAATGCGTACATACCAAAGGAATAGTGACAGACACATGAAAATTCTATGATAGATTACAAAAATAGATTAACAATAATCTCCAAAGTCAGCTAAATTGAGCGAATGTACTCACTTTGAAACAGTAAACGCAGATTCAGAAGAAATCCAACGTGGGATGAAACCGGCTATATAAAATAGAATTGCTATTACATCAAGAATATTCCATTTATCAATAGTGAAATATTTCCAAGGAATCCAATGAATATTACATAAACGTTTTTCCGCATAATACAATAGAAACTAAACATGAACAAAAACAAATATATGAACAAAAATGACAAATCAAGAATCGAAAATTAAATCCCTATGAACCTCTATACATTCTTCAATAAGAATACTAAACATTAAAATGTGAAGGACGATTTCTGTTATTGGAATTATTATAAAATAACCATTACGTGTACCACCATTATTATTTATTGGAAAATAATCCACTAAGAGCACGTAACTAAATAAGCACAGAAATGCAACATAGAAGATCTATAAGAAAAACCAACAATAACATAATGTGTTTAAAATAATATTATGAAATATAGCTGGACAACTGAATACATACAATGTTATAAAAGAATCGTACTATTGCTCTTTTTTGATAAAGTTGAAGAATGCTCCACTGATTTGTATTTGTTGGCCTACAATAAATAATAGTAAGATCGAAAAAGTAACAGAATAAGATACATACTCATGTTTGCCTTTTTCTGATGACAACAAGGACTTACAGAATATAACTAACTTGATGAATGGTGAGAAAACACTTAGAATGAAGATCTAGATCATAAGAAATGAATCATTAATACAGCGTTATTATTCAAATATTTACCAAAACAACATTCCAGAACATGGAATGTCGGTGGTTATCAATTGTACCGAACCATTTTTTATCCAAATATTTTTGAACACATTTCGTTGCTAAAAACGAACGACTATTACTTTCCTTTGCTAATTGTAATGGACTGTAGTTAAAATATCGTTGAGAATTTTCAGTTAATATGCTAACAGCAAATTCTTCATCTTTCTGAAAACATTTTTCAATAATACCTGCAGCATGTTCATCGAAGTCCCTGTAGTAGAATATGATATGAGAATCTAGGAAAAAAGTATAAGAAACTTTTGACATGGAAATACTTTTCTTTTTGTAAGTAATCTTTTTTCTTCTCAGGTTTATTCGTTTTCTCAGCGGCTGTTTGGTAGATTTTACTGGCCAATAGTGCGGCTACGATTGAATTCTAAAGCAAAAATGATTATTGATTATAGAGTATTAAAGAATATATTTAAGCACCTCAGATTGTGAACATAGGCAAGTTGCCAGATTGGAGCGATCAGCGAACAATGACCACAAAAATAAGTCTCGAATAAAACCTGAAACAAACAATAGACTAAAAAAGCTTTTTCATATTTGAGGTCGAGGGTATGTGCTATCATTTCATGGACAAAAACTCGATAGAGAATTATCGACTTGGTTTCCATCATTAGTTCCTCTAATGCTTGTTGATTGTTGATCATTGTTTTGATATTTGATTCAACTGATTTGCGCTGCGGTTCAAATTCTATGCAATACATATTTAATGAATCCAAAGAAGAAATCTATAAACTTCAATTTTGATCGTCAGATCAGTTTATGATCCGGATAGCATATGTCTTGCATAGAATTCTAACCAAATTGATTTGCCCGTATCATAAGGCAAGAAGATGAAAATATTATTCTCACAACTTTCTCTAATACCAGTAGCTCAAGTATCCTTAAACAACACGGACCAAACGAATCAAATGACCAAGCATATCTCTTTGTCGCCTTTCAACAAACATTAGAAATGCATCACAGAATCTCCAAAAATAGCTGTTTCAAGCTTCTTGAAATAACTATGGTCTACACGTATCTAGTAACAATTCAACTGCAAAAACCTAACAGATAATACCAGACTTTATAGTACTGGAACCACACATTTTTTCGCAATACGAGCAGGTGTTCTAACGAAGCAATACTGCCAACTAATTAAAACCTTTAAGGCTCATATTTATGCCATAAGTTGAACTTACGAGGGAAGGTCTCCAAGTGTGAGTCGTCGTTTCGAATCTAATATTTGTCATTTTGTAGAGTTCAGTGAGTACAACCTGTGATATAAAGGATTCATCCCAACATTGAACTTTTAAGAGACTACAAGATACCATAAACGATGTTTCATAATAACTGTAGATAAAGTGTTAATGGTTTTTTTAATAGTTTGTCTTAATGTAGAGAGCTAAAACTTTCAGAAATAACAGATCTTGATTAGATATATATGTAGTAGAAATTCCAGCTCTCTACACTAAGATATAGTATAAAAAAAAACATTAACACTTTATCTACAGTTATTATGAAACATCCTTTATGGTACCTTGTAGTTTCTTAGAAGTTCAGTTTTGGGATGAACCCTTTATATCACAGGCTGTACTCACTGAACTTCACAAAGTGACAAATACCAGATTTGAAACGCTGACTCGCACTTGGGACCTTCCCTTGAAAATCCAATTTATACCTGAATATGAGCATTAAAGGTTTTAATCAGTTGATGGGGTTCTTTCGTAAGCAATTATACTAAAAGAAAACTTTAATCTCTCGGTAGTGATTCGGTTGATTCACTCTGATCCTAAAACAGTTAGATAAGAAGTTTTGCGAAAGAGTTCTTAGTTCTTTTTGTGTTGTCTGTTAAAATCAATGAAAGCTGCACAATATGCATTGTGTTACAGTGAAATCATGAAATTTCTATAGAAACCTGTCTCTGGAGTTATCTTGAAACTGAATGTTAAGCCATAAATTGCTTGACGAATAAATACCACTGGTTTACCCGATTGGACCGTCGTATCAGCCCAACTTCGAGTAATATAATACGAATCACTTCTTTTAACACGACACAGTCGAGTGGAACCACAACCAAAGCCAATTGCTAGATATTGACCCGCCTGCACATAGAGAGTAGGTTCTTGAATGTTCAATGTTCGAATAATACTATTAACAGAGGCGTCTGTTGTTTCTGTTGTCAATTTTGTCAGTTTTCCTGCGACTTTCGATGATGTGTGAGCATTGGAGTCTGTAGGCCGAGTTGATGAAGATCCACTGGTTATCTTCAATGAATAGAAAACATGTAGAAGTCAATCTATGAATTTAGCATCAATAGAGCTTACGTTATCGTTGTTGCTCGCTATATTTTGTCGCTCGGTTGGTACTGTAGATGATGTTAATTGTCCAGTTATAATCGGTGCACCAATTATCTCATCAGATATTTCATGCCGATAAATAATAGTAAATTCGTTTTGATCCTTTCCTGGTGACACAATATACAAGAAAACTTCAGGAAATTGTTTATCCCTTGATGATTGTATAAAATTAATTTTGATTTCGGTTACACGTCCACTTCTATGAATAACATCCATTCCATTGAATACTACCATTTCATGCAAAAATGAATCCTTTTTACGAAAATGATCAATAATACCATAATTATCGGTGACTGACATAAGGAAATAAAAGAGAAAAATAATTCATGAAATTACCTGGATTACTAGAATTCTTACCGGAAACATCAGTTTGTTCCATCTATGAAACAAATAAAAGCAAAATAGATGTCACCTTTTTTCTGTGAGCTGTTATCTTTAGCATACCTGTTTCTGTCTAAGATCAGCCTTCAAATCTCTATTCAAATACGTTTTGTAATAATTCCATTGTGTAATATTTATTGAAACTTGATTTGAATTCGAATGATGGTTTTGGTTCTGATCAGCTACATCAAAAGCTACGGAAACGAGTTCATTCCCAGTTGAAGGATTCGATGATGTCGTTGTGTTAGCTGATTTTTCGAGAGGAAGAGGTCGTGAAAGATTATCATCATCCTATAGAAAAGAAACATCATAGAGTTAATTTTGTCATTGTAGAAAAAACAACAAGCTTATACCAAGTATTTGTAAAGATCACTATTATTAATTAAACGTCGCAATCTCTCGAAAGATGCTCCATATTCTGAGAGTAACTCAACAAAATTTACAGAGTTCTTTAGTAAAGCTTCACGCAAAGCATCATCTAATTGCAAGTCCTGTACAATTACAACACAGAATCAATGATTTATTCGAATACTATGAAATTTGCTTCCTACTGGCCAATCAGTCGCAGATTGAGTTGTTAAAATATCTTGAGCTACTTTATCATATTTGTTCCAGGCCATAGCTAGCTTCAATTTTTTTGAGTTTTGCCTTTGTTCATTGTCAGTCAAGATTGCCGCTAGATATACATGTTTAATAGAATAAGCTTTATGTTTTTTACAAGGGAATGAAAGTTGAATCGGACTCTTACCATTAATCTGTGCTTCCAGTATAGCATCATTAAGTCTTAACTCATGATCGTTAGCCTCTAGCTTAAAAGAATTTAACAGGAAATAACCCTCTTTGGATGTTATCATTCGAATGAAGTTTTCACGATTTGCTTTAGTTATAATTGATTTGTCTGAGTTTGGTCCAAAACGTTTCTTCTTCTTGCTTAAACATAAAACGAAGGAAGAATGTAGCATCATTACTGAAAATACTACTGTCATATACATACTATTTTTCCAAAGCTAATTTCTCGTCGTTCGCAATTTTCTCGTACTGTTCTTTTGATCGTATCTCTTCTCCGTATAAACGCTTGTATTCATATGCAATCAAATTTGCTGCACGCCCTGTACCCTAGAATACAAAAAATTGATAGAAATCTGTCCTCTTGATTATTACAAACAAACTATCTTACATCAATGACAATAACAGGCGTTTTAGCTTTAATCGATTCGCATACAGTAAGAATCGAAGAAACGCCACCTTCGACGAGAATTTGTACAATTGGAATCATGAATGCTGCAAATGTACAGATGTTTCATTTTCATTATGAGATCGCTAATAGAATTTACTTTGTCCTTGTTGAGTTACTTTTCGTGATTCTTGTTCGATTTGCGCACGCATAGGCAATATTAGATCAGCTCGAAGGCGATCAACAAATTTAGCCTTCCAATGTCTATCCCCTTCCTCGAAATTATCGTCTAATAGAATGAAATGTGTATGATTATGGTCAAGAGGATAAGATTCAGGTTCTCCTTTTTCTTGCGGAAATCGTGTCCGATACAAACGTATACGGTCTCGACTTCGTTTTTCTAATTGAGCCGAGAAAGTATCATTAGTATTCTTCTCGTCATCTTTCGTGGCCTGCAAATCAATGAACATTGAAGAGAGAATTGTATATTTCTAAAATATTCCAAGGAATAAATTATGCGTACCTCATTTGATGAGCGATTTAAACCATTATCACTCGACGATGTTGTTAAAGACGAATTCATACGAGGGTTTTGTAATAGCTGTGTGTAATCTACATGCGATCAGTCATCATCATTGAGAAAACAGGAATAAATAAAAATAAAAATATGCAGACCTGTAGTCGCGTACCAACTACAAATGCCAATGCAAGGGATTTTCAATGCACTGTTCGCATTCTTATATCGAAATTTGTCGAATGCCTCACCGACTTCTTTGATTATGCCAGAATGAGTTCCAGCTGTGAAAACCCATGCGTCTAAAACGATTTAAAACCATGTTCGTGAAAGTTTCTTCTCATCAAATGAAGGCTTTACCTGTCGCCATCACCGCGGTTATCAAACCTTGCTGAAGTGCATTTCGCATTCTCGGTGATGCAATCCTGAAATACTTTGCTCCCCCTGCCACTGAAATGATCAAACCAGGCACCGGTAATTTCCATGCACGTCGCATAAAATGAACAATTTGAGCTGCTGACGACAATTCTTCTGTCTGTTTTCCTACTAAAGGTTCATCGTCATCGTTTTCAGTGAACTGTGCAAATGATTCTGAACTAGTTCGACGACATCTCGATGTTGATACTTCGCTTGTTACAGATGATCTGTCGTGAGGTTTATCTTGTTTCCTCTCAATAGGCTTGTTCTCTTGTTGTTGCATATCTGTATAAGGACTCATTTGTATCGTTGCTGTTTGGTGTTTCTCTTCGTTTTTTGAACCTTGCTTAGATACATGATCATTTCCAGTATCGTTCGGCGCTAGTGCGTTAAATGGAAATCGAATGTACTGCGTAGAAATAAGAAAATCGTTTTTCCTTAATCTTATGTTATGTATCAGATAAAAACACTTTACCCAAGACAATCTATCATTTGTTGCAAAGTGTATTTGACCGAAATCGTTTGTCACTGGTGGCTTGGCAGTTCTAGAAATTATTCAACATACACGTTGTAAGATGAAGCGAACAGTTTACTATGAGAAATCGCTGTAAAATGTCGAACGTTGTTTATTAGCTATGAAAGTGCAGATTGTACATGACTTTCTGTAGAAAAGAGACAGGGCAAAACCGAGATCTAATAAAAATTGTGAAAGGGTATGTAGCTTGACGAAATAATGGAGCAACAAACACAATCATCAGGAAGGAGACAAGATGAAACGAAAAATACCTAGTCCAACAAGTGTCTGGTAAAAATATTAATGGGATAAAGTTCTTTTTCTTGATCGATTTTTCATATGCATGTTCTAGACAGACAAGTAGACAGAACTTTAAGGGTGCTCCCTCCCTTTCCGAAGGTGAAAATCAAAATTTTTTCGATTTTTTGTTTTTCATTGATACATATACTCTGAGGTGTTCTTTATCCGTTGAACACATTTTGAGACATCGAATATAGTTTTAAAATTTAAAAAAATCAAAAAGATTTTACGTTTTCTATGTAAAAACAGCAAATTTTTTTCTTCTGCTCCGTTTTTCTCGAAACCAAATTTTATACAAAAAAAAGTGAGTTTTCGCCCTCGTTTCTCAGCCATGGTACATCCGATCGGGCTGAAATTTTTTTCTGACATACTAGACACTATTTGGGGTACGTATTTTTTTTTCAAAAAATATTGCTCTGGTGGTTTTTTACTAGCGCTTACAAAAAAGTCCTATTCGAAAAAGCATGCGATTTTTAGGGCACCTTCGATATTTTGACTTTTTTATTCGAAGAACAAGAGATATAAGGAAACCAAAAAATAATACGCACCCCAAATAGTGTTCACTATCTGTAAAAAGAAGTTTCAGCTCGATTGGTGTATCACGGCTGAGAAACGGGGGCGAAAAGTGAGGCCAATTTTGCCCATTGTGACTCCAATATCTTCTAGAAGACAGCATCCGAGAACTTTGTGTCTATGACAACTTTTTCTCCACTCAGCAAGATCTATCTGCCCTGAAAGTTTCAAAATTTGCTGATGAGCCGTTTTCCATAAATTCCGAAAAGGGGAGGAGTACCCTTAATCTGTTTGAAGACTCGTCGCCTTTTCAATATTTGGTCTAATCTTGCCATTAAAACTTAATTTTATCTCCATTTCCAAATGATATGAAATTTAAGAAAAGAAAAGTAAAATGTTTATATTTCATCTAAGAAAAAGATTACTTACTGCTGATTTCGTTGCCACTCTTTGTATCGCTCCTCGATCCACTAAATAATAAATATATAATAGAGCATTGAATCTCTTCTTTCAAGCAAAAGAATTTATGCTCTTTACCGTATTCGCTACCGATGTAATATAATCTGTTCTTGATCGTTCTCTTCCAGTACTCATATCATTCGTGTCACAATAGAAGGATGGTAAAAATATCTGAAAAAAAAGTACCAACAACTTTTGACTTATCTAGAAGCTTTTTTTCTCATTCAGGTTCGCATGGTCTGTAAAAAAGGTACATTTTGAAAATTTTCAAATGTGAAGAAGTAATGCATCAAGAGTTAAAAAAAGACTAATTATCCGGATATATCAAACGTACTAGTTCTTGATTATTGCCTGACATAATTATTTTGACTATTCACTATTATGTTCTAAAGAGTTATCAGCGAGCAGTTTACGGCCGTAACGAGCGCACCGATAGTTTAAAGAAAAGAAAGGGGTATATATAATTATAGAATACTGATTCTTTTATTTTCTTTGATTTCGATGATTTACTAGCATTCAGAAAAAATAATGATAAGCTTCAATGGTTAGCCGAACCAGCGCTCTAGCCATTAACCTATCAAAGCACGACTAACATACCATTCATTTTTCTGAACGATATTAAATCATTGAAATTTTTAACGTCGATACAATGTGTACGATGCACCGGGATATAGCGAATCTACTTTTAATCAAGTGGAGATTGTAGGGATTTTTATTCTCTTATCAGAAGATAAATATAAAGAATAGAAAGGAGTATACATACGTTAGCTCTCCTCTCTATTCTTCATATTTATTCTGTTATAAGAAAAGAATTAAAATCGCCATAGTATAACTAATGACAAAATGCATAATCTTTTGTATTCAATTTTTACCTCATTTTTTACAGTGAAAATAAATGTATCTCACCATTAGTTGCAGGTAGAGGTGTTAGCCGATCATTTGATCGATGGCGGCGGCGGGAAGCTCCCGCCGAGGAGGTCATTTTCGGTGGCGGCGACGACAAAATTTTTCCTATGTTATCTCACAGGGTCTTTCGTAGATCCCTACTGTTAAGACAAACATTAGACGTTCTGTTCTCACAGACTTATAACGCTGTTTTCCTCTTAGCACGCTCATGTCTTTTTATGCAAAAATTTTTCCGCTAGATATAACTTTATTTTCATCAATTCAAAAAATTCACATTGTTCCATCATAAAATAACTTCAAACCACACAACAAGAACTCATGATATAAGCCAAAATGGCAGTAATGTGGCTATCCATCTAAAATACAAATTAAATTCAAACATGATAGCTTAGGGCTGGCTGGGTGTGGGTGTGGGTGTGGGTGTGGGTGTGGGTGTGGGTGTGGGTGGGTGTGTGGGTGTGGGGTGTGGGTGTGGGTGTGGGTGTGGGTGTGGGTGTGAGTGTGCGTGTGGGGTGTGGGTGTGGGCGTGGGTGTGGATACAGCTGTGGGTTTTCTCTTTACACCCACACCCACACCCACCCACACCCATTCAAATCGATACTTTTCTGTGAGTGGAGAAAAAGAGCAAGATTTGTTTTTATTGATGATTCGAATTCAAATTCAAACTAAATATTTTTCTTTTTTCTAAACTGTCAGAAGAGTGTCGATTGGAATTCGAATTCGAATCGCACGGTTAGTTACATTTACATTCGAACTCAAACTAGACATTTAGTCAAAATACCATCCAAGAAAAAATACACTAATTTCTATTTTTTAAAAGTTCTGTTGGTTTCAGCAATCTCTAATTGTCACATAGAGCAAGCTTGAGATATTACTGATTATTACCAATGAATAATAATTTAGAAAAACAGGAAGCTTGAACTGTGATCTTTCACTCGCTCAGCGGCGAAAAAGCGGCGGCTAATACCTTCAGTTGTAGCATAGGCGGCGGAACATTTCCAAATCTGGTAAGACTTACGAAGGAACATATTCAACCGTCAGATCGCTCTCGAGTCAAGAATAGGCGCATATTGTAGAGCTCAGTGAACTATGTTCATCCTGAAAAGGGCTCGTGCCCATGATCTGTTTCTGAGGGCATCGAGTGCTTATAGTTTTTACAGTTGGATATTTCAACGATATCTCAACTATGTTGTATCAAAATGATCTCCAATGTTGATGAAATCTCTAACATTTCCCGGGCAGACAAGCATGTCACTTTTTGTGTTAATTTAGTATCGAAAAAAGTGTGTCTAATTTTCTATATAGTTTGTTCCCTTTGTACAGATTTTTTGCATCTAAATTTTTGATGGCAAAAAATGGCTACTTTTTTTTCTCAAAAATAGTGAAAAACTTTTGAGCGTTTAAACGCATTAAAAAACATAAAATTAAGCATCAAATTGTATGCAATTTTTTTGAACCATTTTTGGAAATTTTATTTTATGCGTTTATTAGTTGTATTTTACGTATATCAATTATCTGTGGTTCTCTTCTTGCTAGACCGGTATGGAGTTTTTTACAACATCCTAACCTCAATTCAGTACGTAGTTATATTTTACTTTTGAAAGAATACTATCCAGCTCTACTTTTAGTCTCTACCATAAATTTCTAAAGAAGACAATCCTACAAAGAGTCCTATACATTTTATCAAATGGATTTTCAGCAATACAGTAATTTAAATTTTGTGTTATCTTTCCCAACTAGCTTAAAAATCGCATCTTCAATTATCTTAAATATTAGTGACATGAAACGACATAGAACGTAGCAATGAAAGATTTAATCTGCTGCATCACTGAAAATATTTTTTAAAAAGTGTATAGACCTTTTTCTAGGCAACTATCTTCCTCAGAAATTCATGGTCGAGACTAAAAAAAAGAGCTTGGTCGTATCCTTACAAAAGTAAAATACAACAAAGTACTGAATTAAGGCTGGAGTATTGTAAAAAAACTCGATACCACTAAACAAAGAAGAACAAAAAGTACGAATATACTAATGATCTAATAGTCCACAGTTGAATCGTTCTTAGATTGAATCTATGAAATGATCTAACGACGAAGAACACTATCATATTATGCTCAATTTGGATACTCACGATTTTCTCAAACGTCTGAACTCCTTATAAACAAAATTTGTCTCTTTCAAATTTACAATTCCTTTGTAAAGTGAATCTCTATATGGGAAAAACTAAAAATTCTATCTCATCTATAGTCAGAGTAACTCTTAGATAAAAACATAATGGATTAACAACTCATCCGCAGCTATTAGAATTGGTGAGACTGACTGGAAATACCACAGTATTTTTTTTCTTCCCGTATGACGTAAGTAATTAAAAGTAATTTTTATCCAAGTACATTCCCTCTTCATTTTGATCTTGAAAGTGGTCTAAATAACAAAAAAACATTTCTTTCTTTTTAAAGAAATGCGTTACTATTCATTATGTCGTCCAGATAGATCTAGCGTAAGTAATATTTTTCTATCTACACTTAGTGTTCATTTTGGTCTTGAGGTAGATCTAAATGAAAAAAGAAAACAATTTTTTCTATAAACAATTACTTACCATTTATGTTGATATA